TTCTGGAGTAATGGATTGCAGAACTAAAAAGCAAAGGAAAAGTGACAATAAAGGTTCTTATATTTGTCCCTGGCCAACTTTTTTTGGGCAAACTGAACAGTCTTAAAACACAAAAAGCATAAAGATCCCACTGGATACATGTAACCAGACAAAGTAATTCTTGCTAGGAATGCTTTTATTTTGTAAATATTTTAACTGCTGATCTAATCTTGCTTTAACGTCAAGAGTTTACAATCAACATGCTTTATGTTTCTGAATGATAAGATGGGAAAGAGCATCCTTATGGATTATTTCAAGAATTTAAGAATATACATGTCATTAAGGGCATGAACAGGAATTCTCTTCTGGATCACTCTTGAGTAGCCCAGTGAAACCACTTCTCTCTGCAGTTTGATGTAGTTACCTGTGTTAGCGATGCAAACAAACGGACCTGACTTGCTGTGGTGTGCATTACAAGTGCTTCCAAGTTCTGTCCCACTGTCTCATCAGATCTAGGAGAGGAAACCTCTGGTAAAGAGCTGGCATTATGCAGCAGCAGTGCTGGGCATGATAGTCTACACCACTCTGCGTGTGTTGGACACCAAAATACCTAAAAACTCTTAATGTGGAATGTTTTCTAAACAGCTCAAAGCTGCCTGAGGAGTATCCTCAGAAAATTTCCTCTGACTGGTGGTACAGTGTGCCATTTTGAAAGGATATTCCATTTAGCCATGGATATTGATACAAAGCCATAGACTGCAAGCAGTTTTTGGTCTTTAAGCTTCTTATTTAAGCTCATCATGTCAGTCTAATATGTCCTCCGCGTTCTTTTTTACTCCAGTTTTCGTGGTTTAAGCCCAGCTGGTAACTCAGAACCACGCAGCTGCTCGCTCTCTCCCCTCCTTCATCCTCCCACTGCTCCTGGAGAGATGGGGAGGGGAATCAAAAGAATGTAACTCCCACAGGTTGAGATAACAGCAGTCCAGTAACTAAGGTATAATATAAAACCACTACTGCTACCACCAATAATAATAATAATAATGATAAGGCAAATAACAAGGGGAGAGAATACCATTGCTCACCACCCACTGATTGGTACCCAGTCCGATCAGAGCAGTGATCTGGGCCTTCCAGGTGACTTCCCCCAATTTATATACTAGGCATGACGTGCTGTGGTATGGAATACCCCTTTGGCCAGTTTTGGTCAGGTGTCCTGTCTCTGCTTCCTCTGGGCTTCCCATGCCCCTCCTCACTGTCAGAGCATGAGACTGAAAAGTCCTTGATCAGAGTAAACATTACTTAGCAACGACTAAAAACCATCAGTGTTATCAGCGTTCTCCGGATAAAGCTGAAAACACAGCACTGCACTAGCTACTAAGAAGGAGAAAAATGACTGCTATAGTTAAGCCCAAGACACCAGCCATGAATGCTTTCCCCATGGAAAATTGCTGATGTGCTGCGTTTCAGGGTTTAGTTCTCCGTTGCTTTGTTTCTCTGACTGGAAACACAAATGATTTTTAAAATGGTGGGGAGAGGGGGAAAAGTTATTTTCTTAGATCTTGACACTGTTCAAGAACAGCTAATGGGCTTTGATTTAAACATCCAGAAGATTTTTTCTTCTATACAGAAAACTTTCATTCCAAAAGCTTTTTTTTTCTTTCCCATAATTTGGAAATAATAGTATAAATCTAAACACCATCCTCAGTGCCTATTATTGCAATAATTAACTAGCAGATCCCACACAAAACAGATAGACAACAAAGTAATTGTAGATTATGACTTGATGATTAAGTCATTAACCCATTCACTTGGCTGCAACCATGTATGTTCTCCTTCTGTCTTCCATATCTGGTATCTCTGGACAAAATCCTTCTTAAAGTCAGAGTTCTTCTTGAAGCCAAGTATCCATTTTGGCACTCTTTGGAACAGTTTAAAACATTTTGTGTCTTCTGGGTCTGATTCTTATCTTGTGAGCCTTTTCATTCACCAGCTCTTTCTTTCTAGCAGGAATGTACTTCCCCATTATTTATATACAGGTGATTTTCTTTTCTAGTTATATTTGAAGCATTTCTTGGCTAGTCTTGGCTTATTATCTACATAGTTTCTCTGTAGCTGATATCTCACTAGCATATATCTTCTGTAGAGGATACTCTCTAAGTAATAGATTATTCTGGCGCTTTTTGTGATGTAAAGGAGACTTCAGTTGTATGTCAGAAAGGTGGTAACTGTCATTTTGCCTTTGTTAAATGAAAACTTTGAACTCTGCACTGTATTTGCTGTGGGAAGTCTACAGTGCATAAAGGTCCTTTGTTTTGATTTATTGCTGTAGTTCCACCAAACATCATGGGAGAGGAACAAAATATCTCAGTGCTCATCAGCCAAACAGTCGAGCTGCTCTGTCAGAGCAATGCTATTCCCCCACCTGTGCTGACATGGCTCAAAGATGGACGGCCCTTGCTGAAGAAGCCAGGTCTTAGCATCTCTGAAGATGGAAGTATACTGAAGGTAAACTGGGCAGTCAGGCTCTGGTGGCAGTTGATTTCTGGGGAGTTATACCCACAATGAAGGCACTAGGTGCCCATTAGAGATTGGATAGCATTAGGCCCTCTGGTGCAATAGACAGTAGTAGATGAGAAGTGAGGGAGTTCATAGGCATCTGGATGTTTGTACACAGGTTTTGCAGGAGTAAAACTGTATTATTGCTATTTTGAGAGACAGATGTGAAAATAAAAATTGAAACCTGAGCAACCCCTGCTTGCAAGTTTCTGGTGTAACAATGTAAGAAGAAGAAATCCAGGTTTTCATTTTCTTCCTAGATCGAAGGAGCTCAAATACAGGACACTGGCCGTTACACTTGTGAAGCGACAAATGTTGCTGGGAAAACTGAAAAGAACTATAATGTCAATATTTGGGGTAAGATTTATTAAGCTTATTCCAGGAATGGGAACAAAGCTCAGAGTGAAATTATGATGTGAGACATTAAAATTCTCTGTAGTTCATAAACACTTAATTGCTGGGGTTCATGCAGAAAGATGTTATTATATTCATATTTGCTGTAGTTTAACAGTCCCAAGAAAGTGCACGCATTTTTCACATTGTTTTGATTTGGTTCTAAATTACTAACAGCTACTTCATAGGTCTTTTTCAGGTTGGGTTCACACTCATGATCATAGTTTAGAGCTATAAGTAACTGGGTTTATATCCATATCTCCTATTTGTGCCTCTAATGCCATTTTAAGTAACCTATCAACTTTCCACTTTTTTTAAATGCTGAAGTGTGGCAATTCAAATAAGTGAAAGTTGGTTTACCTGCTTTTTTTGCTCTGTAAAGTTATAGGTGTTGAATCACAGAAATAGCATTCATAAAATTTTTCTATGGCTAGATGATGAATGTGACTCAGGACATTTATTTTAATAATTGATTTTGAGTGCTTTTTATTCACCATCATTTTCTCCCCATGTGCAATCTGAAATGTGCCTTTTTTGCTATTTAAAATTAATTTCTTGCTTTGAAATCACAGGACTAGAATCATTTAACAGGGTTTGAAACAAAAAACTACAATGTTATTGCAGAACTCTGTCTTTATTTATTAAAAAGAAACATTCCTGGTGTTTTAATTAGAGGTGGTAATTGTAGTACCATGCAAGATCATGAAATTTTCCCATGCTAAAGCACATACCCATTTACTGTGCATGTTACCTTCAACTCTCATTTCTCCCTCCACAGATTTGTAAGATCTGCAGGGTTGCAGAGAATGTTTGCTACTGGAGGGCTATGTGTTTGTTCTTTTGTGCACTAAAATGGTTTCAGTAGGATTTTGCAGGAGGGATAATGGTTTGCTAGTTAGCAGCTTTGACTAAATAAGCTTAATAGAAACCAAAAGTTGCCCGCGAAAGTCATCAGTGGATAACTGTTTAGAGTTATAGTCTTCATCTACACCCAAGGACCAAAAGTCCTGCTTGCCATATTTTTAAGTTTCAAGTCCCAGAAATGTACCCTGCTGAGGACTGGTGAGATCCTGAGACCTAACCTTGGTTCCAGGAGCCAGCCCATATGCTAAATATAAGAAATACCTCTGCAGAGAATGGCACAAACATTTTGACTAGAAGCAGGGCAAATAAAGGGTCAAAGCCAGTATGGCACAATAAAGCCGTTTTCAGTCAGTCATTCCAAAATGCATATATCTTGTTGCTGCTAAATAGTTTGAAGTGTCAGAAGGAGAAGCTGTCTACTGCCATTTGCATAAAAAACATGCTCAGTAAGTTATTCACTAATGAGATTTGCCAGTTTCAGCCTGTTCTCTTCTGCTTTTTTAGTCTCTACCTACACTATATTCATCTGATGAAAATGATTCCGCAGTTTCAAGGAGGCAATTATCCATACCCTAGTGATGGGTCTGAAGTTCTTTAATACTTTGAGAATCAGACTGAAAACAGTGACCCCCTTTGTCTGTAACTGGTTGACAGTCATAGAGCTGTAGAGCAAAAGCTGGCACTCTGGTAGCATTGGGAAATTGAAGGGATTAGGTTCTTAGCATTGGATGTGGCAGCCAGTGTGTTGATGCAGGAAAAATTCAAAGGAAAAACTTAGGCTGAATTTTACAAATCACTTTCCACTTAGTGGTGGTGCCTGCAGGTTTATTAGCTAAGGCCATGAATGAGGCAGGCTCTTAGAATTGGAGTCAGTTTACATAACCCACAGAAACAGCTTTGTTCTGTGAAATGTATTCAAGTCAGCCTGAAGCAGAACCTATGCATGTACCAGACCTCAGAGGTAGAAGGATTGATGCAGTCATTTGCAAGTATATTATTGCCTAACCAGGGTCTGAATTGCATTGTCAGGAAGAGCATATAATCCTTGTAATTGCTTCAGAGCATAATGGTACAAATTTGTATGAGGGTCATTTAAGTCTTACTGTTGGCTCATTATGTTTTGTTTCAAATGCTGCAATTATTTGGCATTTCTTTCCAGTGTCACCAAGTATTCATGGCTCAGATGACATATCTCAACTGACGGTAACTGAAGGGAGCTTGATAAGCCTGATATGTGAGTCTAGTGGCATCCCACCACCTAGCCTTACCTGGAAAAAGAATGGTGGGTAACTGTCCATCGTCCATTTTATAATGGAAACGTGATAATTCTGACCTGCCAGTTTTTCTTTTTTCCTGTGAATATTTTAGATGGTGTGTTCTGAGGAGTTCAAGCACAGAGATATCTAAACAGTCCTGCTATTAAGTAAAATGAACTACAGCAGTAGGTGATTCTCTTCTGTCTAACTGACCCCTGTTTGATTAGGTGTCATTATCTCTGAAGGTGTGCAGGAGAGATTCCTGAGCTGATTTAAAAATGGACTGTGAAATACTTAACCCCTCTCAACATGCTTATTTACCGAAGTGCAGTAATACTTGTTTGTGGATCCCAGCTGGCAGGGCTGTGAGTCACTGTGAAGTCTCGTGGTGGTGTGTGTTGAGTTGAGTCCTGTGAGCCACTGCATAACATGGATATATTCTCTGAGTTATTTTTAAATTTACAGCCATGACATACTGCCAAGTGTTGAAAATGCATCTAGTTGTAGTAATTGCTTTGGGGATTTACTGAACCTTTCTCTCATCCCATCTTAATATTTAAAAGTAGCCTGCACACCTTTTTGCTTTAGGGGTTAAGGTAACATTGGCAAACACCTTCTTATGAATCAGTAGACAAAAGCAGGTATTTTTAGCACTGCATGGACACTGTTGGAGAGAGAATATTAGACAAAATAAGATGTTGAACTCTTCTGGTGTGGTAATTCTTGTGTCATTAATCAGTCTCAACCTATTTGTCTGTCATTCTAGATGGCACAATTCAGTGTGATATGTGCCTGCCTTAATTAATTTTGGTTTGTGGAGAGACCAGATTTAAATTACAAAATTATTTTACTGCATAAAATTTTCTGAGAAAATGAAGTTTATGAAGTTCTTTTTAAACCCTGTATCTTGGAAGCCAAAAAGGCATTGTGTGACATGTTTTACTAACTGTACTGCAAGGCTAAAGTGTATACACTTAAATGTCAGAAAGGAAACTTATACCTGGTAAAAAGTCTGGAAGAGCAGTTAGAAAGTATTACAGTTTTGAATGTTACTCAAGAGCCAGATTTTCCATCATGTTTGATGTGTGGTGCACTTTTCCATAGAGAGGATTTTAACTGTGCAAGTGGGAAATGAAAATTCAGCTTGCAAGAATTACCAGTGGCCGGTGTATTCCTTCTGTCATGAAATCTCCCTTCATCTTTGCAAAGATGAAGATAGTTGCCCAGTCTGAGGTCTCCAAGTCTGAAAATTCTGCTCAGAGAATGCAACATTATTTTGCTGTCAAGTTTCTGCTGAGGATTTCCTGGGCAGAAGTCTATGCTCATGTGCTGCGTGGCACAGTACACAGGTGGTCTGTTTGTGAAAACTGAATTATATGCTACTAAGCACTGGCTGTGCTGAGTGAAATGGTTCTATACTGGAAAATTAGTCAGATTTTATTCAAAGTGTTGAATTTGCTGCTCAGTGGAACTGTCCAAAACTTTCTGCATGGATGTGAGAGTTATTATGCTTTAGCTCAGGTTGCTGTGGTTGACGTAGGTCATAAAGTCAGCAGTTAATATATAAAGTCTTCAGAATCTGCTTGCTTGAAGTTTCTGGTATCTGGAAAAATTCTGATAGAGCAGTTTTAAAATGGACAATCATGAAGCTCAGTATTTTTTAAATGAGCTAGTGGACTTTACACCCACGTGAGCAAGCTCGTTACCATTTTCTGTGGTTTTATCTGAAAGAATGTCTCTTGCAGGCTCTCTACTGGTGGCTGATCTTTCAGGAAGGGTGCGGTTATTATCTGGAGGCAGACAGTTACAAATTTCAATTGCTGAAATGTCTGATGCTGCATCTTACACTTGCATTGCTTCAAATGTAGCTGGAAGTGCAAAGAAAGAATACAGTTTGCAAGTATACAGTAAGTTACCACTAACAATTCTGTTCATAGTTTAACAGTTCTGCGATAAAGTTACATAGTTGAAAGTGTTAATCATCACCATGATGTTAAGCTGCAAGATTTTCAGAGAACAATGTCTAGCTATAGGACAATTTAAGAGTACACCAAGCAATTAAAATTTTGGCAACTTAGACTTGGACCTTGACCAAGACCTTGCATATACCCGTTGAAAGTCCATTTGACCACAGATGATTACAGAGATATAACTCTCTTAGGTAATGTAATGTTTCTTGTCACTAAACTGTAGTGGTGAAGACAACAAACTGAACTTAGATTTGTCTTAGATTTTACTGCTACTTCTGTATTTTGGTCAGGAATAAAAGAAGGTTCTTTTAAACAATCCCATGAAAGAGAAAATCTTCAAAGATCTGTAAGGATTTTCAGCGTTTGGGGCAGTCTTTTTTATTTATTTATTTTTTTCTGTTTGCATTTTTAAAATTGTAAGTTGCATTTTAAAAAACATTTTTACTTTGTGGGGTGGTGGTAGGGAGGAGGTTATTCATGTCTTCTTTGACCTGTGGAAAATGCTGTGAGTTGCAGAGTACTCGTAACAGGTTTGTCAATGGTAACCTGCAATAACTAGTCTTTATTAAAATGTTGATCTGTCAAACTCGATTATTGTTCTGTTCAGAAATAGGTGGTGTTCCTGAAATGTTGCTTCCAGTTGACTTCTATACTGTCTTTCTTTTTCTTTCATAGTTCGACCAACTATATTGAATAGTGGTAGTCACCCATCCGAAGTTGTCATCACCCAAGGAAATGAAGTTTCCTTGGAGTGCAAGGTACAGGGCATTCCAAAACCATCAATAACATGGATGAAGGATGGCCGTCCACTGGTTAGAGGAAGGGACATAGGGATACTTCACGATGGTCACTTTCTTCAACTGAAAAATGCCCAGGTGTCAGACACTGGCCGCTATGTCTGTGTTGCTGCCAATGCGGCAGGGCTATCTGACAGAAAATACGATCTAAATGTTCATGGTGAGTATGTGCAAAATGGGACAGGCATAACAGAAACAAAATAGACATGCAAATTCACCCACAGACATGCAAGAAATAGTTATGTAACTAAATGCACCACCTATATCTATTACAGGCTTTACATGTGATGTAGTTTCAGTTGCAAATCAGTGATGCAGTTTCAACTGCAGTGTTAAAAAAATCCAAATCCAATTTTATAACTTCAGAATATTTTGAAATCTTATCTTTGGCTCTGATAATATCAGTCCATCCCCAGTTGCTCCATCTCCTGAGAGGAGGAAAAAAAAGACACGGTAAAATTTTATAGAATATTTGTTGAGTGTCATGGTGGGAAATATTCTATTGTGGGAGATAAAAAACAAGGTTTAACCAAGAACACCCTACTCATGGCTGCTGCCAGAGGATTTTACCAGAAGATAAACAGTATCTCAAGTGTTTGATTATCAGGTTCTCCCATTTTGCACAATAAGAAGAATTTAAAGATGGTAACTCCAACTATAATTCATCTCCATAATTTGACTTAATGGCATTCATCAGGACATTATCTTACAATCACTGTCACACTTTTGTATATGGCTCTTTACGGTTCATCAAACATAGAATACTTATGTTTTACAGGAATTCCCATTATTGAAAATAAGAGGCCAAAATTATTTACCAGTGGGTTTTGGTGTTTTTTTATTTGATGTATTTGCTGTACTGTATTATTGGACTTCTGGGCAGTAAAGAGAAACTTCAAATTTCCTCAAGCTGGTCAGAGTGCTGGAGGATGTTGGTCAGTTGTTGACCTCAGTCTTCATGTTCTAAAGTATGAACTGTAGAACTGCAGAACTGCTTCCAAAGTGGAACTATTCTTATTCTTGGCAAAAAAAAGCTAAATTAGTGATAGTTATTTTAATAGGGATTGTTCTTTCCATTAGAAAGAGCATATAATTCTGTCATTGTTAGAATTCTCCATAGTGTTTCATTAGATACTGGAAATTGTAATTAGCATAGATGGGCAGAACTACTATAAATTGTTATTCACTATGGATCTTAAGCCATAAAATAAAGGTAATAGAATTTAATTTAAATATTTCTAGGCCATTACACAGTAAGAAACTGTCATTAATATATAGTACTAAATGTCTTAGTCTTGTTGCACTTTACTTGCCAAACTCTCAAACTTTTGAGATCAAAATTAATTTTCACTTGTTCTGAAGCATGGCTTTTCTTTATTATTTTCTGTAGTTCCCCCAAGTATTGCTGGTTACCTGCAGATGTCTGAAAACATCAGCATTGTGGAGAAGAATCCCACCTCTCTGGTTTGTGAAGCTTCAGGAATTCCCTTGCCAACAATAACATGGCTCAAGAATGGATGGCCTGTCACTTTGAACAACTCAGTGCGAATCCTCTCAGGTACAAAAGCTGTAGTTATTTAAAAAAAAACAAAAAAAAAAAAGGAGGAAAGGGGTCAAAGGGCTCTCTGCATCTCCATCTACAGTGCAAGTATTTCACATGAAGGAAGGTTTGATTTAATAATCTGTAAAGATGAGAAAAGAAATCGTTTTTCAATGTGAAGCTTTTTGGCAAATGGTGCCAGATCAGCCAGACTGCCTGGTGAAAAGCTAACATAAAAGTTTAAAGTTGTTGCCAAACTTTGTGTATGGGCTGAAGGCTGGGATCTGTTTGGTCATTGATTAAGCCATAATTCTGGCTGTTAATGTGTGCTAGTCTAATCTATATTACCAGAGATATGTCAGATGGTAACATCTTGCTTTGTCAATGACAAAACATATACTGCAATAGCTCTCTCATTTGATTAGTTTTCTTTACCTTTTTGCAGTTATTTTACCTTTTAGAGAGGAAAAACCTTTGAGAGAATGAGTAGAAATGACAATAAAGAAAAGACATCTTTCATTTCTGTGGGTCTGTATACAAAAACAAAGTGAAACCTGTTCATGAACCTCAGAAATTAATACATGTAAATGCCTCCAGGCCTTGCAGCTAACTGGATCTGATCTTCAGAATGTCATCTAATCAAAGTTGGAATTACATGGTCAGTCAAATGCAGAATGCTGCATTAGCAACAAGACTAGTCCAAAGTATCTGGAGAAACGTATGATAGGCAAGCAGAGAAACAGATGCAATTCATCAGGGATCTTGATTTTCAAGTTTTAATAACCTATGAAGAACTAGTTCAGATAGCTCTTTATGACAGTAGTAATTGACAGAGACGTCTGAAATATGAGGGGCTTGGTACCTGTTCCTGAAACCATTTTCCTGCAATACCATAGAGAAGTGGAAATACTCAACTGGCTGCTGCAGTGTTTACAATAGGGAATTGAGTTAGTGCTCTTGAGATTACAAAGAGAAAATGAGTACCAAGCAGGCAACATATTTTGCATTGTCTTCATGTGCCTGGGGATCAGCTTTGTGGAGTGCATAGAAGTAATTAAGTATCTGGTTAAAGCTGAGATGTGTAGGTAACAAATGAGATTTTTCTTTGATCTTGGGTTTGCGGCTCATAGCTAGAAATTTTATGAAAATAAATTTTGAAGAAGTTTCAAATACTCTGATATAAGCCACCACGCAAAGCCAAACCATCCTGTGGCATGAGCATAAGAAAGCTATGAAAGGTAAAGGAACTGGAAGGTGTTTAGAAGCTCAGCTAAGACTGGATTTGAAGCTGAAATTTTTTAGAATTTTTTCATCAATGTAGCTTTTAACATTACAGGTAGTCCTGTCCTCTACTTTCCCATTTCTACAGATGGCGCATGGAAAAAAGAGTGGGTGTCTGATTATTATCCAGTATAAATCTGACTATCTGAATGCACTCCTTTTTGTGTGACATTGCCATTAACAAAAATGATGCCTTCTGGGCTTGATTGTTTCTGTTCTGTCTGTTGATTTCTACACCCACACTAATATCACCACCCGGATTGAAGAGTCAAGAAGGGTGAGAGACAAAAAGATGTTTATTGTCTCTGAATGTTAGCTGCAGTGGGAGTAGGGAAACAGGCCAGAAGTTGCTGCTTTGTTTTCCAGCAAACTCTGTGTTTCAGAAAAGTATGCATTGTGGTGGTGAACTGTAACCAACATGGCATTTGGAACTTCATTTGTGCTTGTGCAGTTGTAAAAAAACCCAAAAAGAGTAACAACAACAACAACAACAAAATCCCCCTCTTCAGCTGATTTGGGAGGTAAAATAAAATCTTGCCAAAGCAAGATTTTGGTTCTGTTGATTGAAAACATACTTGGCATTGCAGACGATTTAAATGTGTGGACATGCTGCTGGCAACTTTTAATTTCTTAATTCAGATGCTGATGTTTCCTTCTGATGATGCTTCCTATATCTTCTAGGGAAAAAAAAAGAAAAAGAAAAGAAAAATAAGATCCACCACTGCTTTCCTTGTAGACCATGCACTAAGTTGCACACTAGCTTTAAGAAGGAGAAAAGTTTTGATTAGGTTTTAGCTAAATGTAGAAAATCATACCCTGCCTCAGCTCTGAAGCCCTGGGTGTGCTATGGAATGTGATACCAGAGAAAGTTAGAGTCTCCTGCAGGCACATATCTACCTCATTTTGCTTGTTATATGGCTTTGTTCAGGGTGTGGATGGGAGAAGGAATTAGGGTGCTGCAAGAACTGAGGCTGCAAGAACTGAGCCTTCCACTGTCTCAGTACTCCTTTCAGCAGGTAGAACTCCTTGGGCCAGGGCACATCCATTAACCAGGTCAGCACATGACCAGGAACATAATTTTCTGGGATATATCCCAATAATGAGACCCTGTGGATATCCTCAGGCATAGTTCAGATGTGATGTACTTTGTGGTAATGACTGCTAATGTGAGAAAAAGTCATGTTTTAGGTTTCCCAGTTTTTAAACTCACATTTCCCAGTTTAAAGAGAAACTGGGAAAAAGCTGAAGGATGGTCACTTCTTTTCACATTTAAATGCTCACTGATGTTTGTTTTGCTGTTTTTCTGACAAGAAAGAAGAAAAGGTAAATTATTCTGCTATGGCAAAGCAGGGATGTTCTTGATCTTTTGGTCAAACATACTTGCAAATTTTCTTCCTTTTAAGCTGGCATGCCTGTGCAAAGTTGTTCTGACAACTGCTCTGCTACAGCGTTAAGAGAAATCTGCTATTTTAAAACATACAGGTAAACCAGTACTGTCGTCACCTGTTACTATTACTAATGGCACAATTAATACAAATGCTGTAAGAGCCAAGTGGGATTTTATTCCTTATCTGTACATGTGAAAATATCTTTAAGGACTGCTTGTATGTGTTTATAAAAATAAACTTATTTTTATGTGTACACACACCCCCTCTCTGATGAGGCTGTATTCACTGCTCTGATGAGGCTGTATTCACTGCTCTGATGAGGCTGTATTCACTGCTCTGATGAGGCTGTATTCACTGCTCTGATGAGGCTGTATTCACTGCTCTGATGAGGCTGTATTACTTTTTCCTGTACAGCCATCTAGTTAGATTCTCAGTATAGTGAAGTACTCATGTGAATGCAAATCTCGCTGAGACACCATAGTCTATCAAAATTTCCTGCATAGAAGTATGAGCACAACTCCTGCATATTACAAAAGCAGTGTTCCTGCCACATCCAAAGTGTCTGTGCTGATCAATGAATTACTGTACCTGTGCATATCGTTTAAGTGACCTGTGAAAAGCTGGTTTGATTTTCTCTGTGTAAACTCTACAGATGTTTCTCCAAGTATTCAATCTCCAAGATTGTTCCAGTTGTATCTGATTTTATTCAGAAATCCTCAGAAAATGTCTGAATGCCTCAAAGTTCACTTAAACATAGTTTCTAGAGGGAAGAAAAATAAAGGCAGGGAGCCGGGGGTGTGTGAGATGTTCATGTCAGGGTACTTTGGAAGTTGCTGACTAGAAAGAATAGGATGATCAATATGAAGCACAGATACAAAAGCATTGGGAAATGATTGGAGTAGGAGTAAGGTCAGACACTTCCTCTCACTCTTTGTTCAACAAAACAAAGCACATTAAAAATGAAAACACATGAAAAAATACAGCTGTAAATTTAAGCAAAACATAAAAGATTAAGAGCACAGACGATTTGGGAGCATGATGGTTGGAGAAAGACTTCAGTGACTGTATTTTTTGTGTGTGTGTCTGGTTTTTTTTCTACTTAGGGGGCAGAACGCTCCGTTTGGCACACACGAGTGTAGCAGATGAAGGCCAATATACTTGTGTAGTGACCAATGCTGCAGGGGAAGTGAGGAAGGATTTTTCCCTTTCTGTTCTTGGTAAGTATGCAATAAATGTTTGTTACAGAAGAAGGGAATCTACTGACTACTTTGGTAATAGTTTAAAAATTATTATGCCGAAATGTATGTCCTTAGGGGAAAACAAGCTTAATTTGGTAACATGGTCAGAAAATAAAGCTGTAAAGAAAAGTTACTTCTACATGTGAATTTGTTGTTTCTTTTGTTTTTAAAGTGAAGGTTCTTCAGGCATAATTGGAAATAACTGGCAGCTACTTATGTTTTGTGGTTGGTTTGTTTCCTTTCTGAAAAGGAACTATGTCAACCCAACTGGCTTCAGTTAGGTTGTTATTTCAGACAGACAGAAGTCTGGGAAATGCCCAGAGCTGGACTCCTATCCTCTCTTCAGTTTCTTGTTGCTCATAGCTTCACTCTCCTTTGAGTGTGATGAAGGAGGTGAATCAGTTTATAGGTGATCTGGAAAAGTGGGGGTTTTATGTTTTCCAGGTCATGTTAGTTTTCAGCCAGATCAGTTCCCTGCTGGTTTACCACACAGCCTATAAATGCCAGTATTGGTGAAAGGAAGATGACAAGAATGAGTGGTCAGGGAAATACTGCTATTTCTTTTGGCCCAGGCCAGAATTTAAGCTGGTTTAAGTCAAAAGAAAACTGGTCTCAGGAAACCATACAAAATTCATATGAATCTGTATAGGACTGGGTATAATATGTATAGGTAACTGGCATGATGGTGGTAATCTGTTTCAACAGAGATGTGAAGGCAAAGCTAAGACAGACAGGAAAATTAAACACTGAAGCTGGAATTGTTTTTGCAAAATGGAAATCTCAGATCCAGCAGAAACCTTCAGTCAGTAAAGCCATTGTTATTTTAAGGGATATAAACCAAATGTGGTAGTGGGTGAGCCTGCTAACATGTTTAGACAAGTACTGATACAGCAGGCTCTTTAGATTGCTATTTAGAATAATAAATGTGTAATTTTTTTCACATTACTTATTTAAAAAACAAAAAATAAAAAAAATCCCCATAGTATTTCCCTGAGAAATGCTGCTTTTTTATTCAGTAACTACTTGTTACTAAATACCAGGCCTGATGCAGGTTGTCTTACCTTACTGTATATCATTTTCCTGTAGTTTCTTTTCTGTAAGATGGTTAAAGCTATCGGCTTCCCTTGCCTTCTACTGACTTATGCACATTCAGCCTGTGAATGATAACTCACACTCATGTCAGTTCATGTTTATCTGATGAGCTCACGGAAGTTTAAGTCTGGTAGAATGGAAGAGATGGATAAACACTGAAAAGCATTCATTGTTTTACTGTTTTCTTTGGAGGGTTTTAGTGTCAGAGTATTCTCGAGAGTTCTGGAAATCTATTGCATAGGCTTTGTTTGACTTGAAGAAAAATGCTTAGTGAAGCTGATTGCAAGTGGTCTAAGTGGAAAATTCTATTGTTCAGTCTTCCCTTCCCTCAGTAATTCCTTTGTCTTTCTAGAGGAAAGTTACTGGAATGTGTCCTGATAGCAACACGGAATATTCATTGGCTCACTGTTAATAGGAACTCTACAGAGACTTACCAGTGTTTCTCTAAATTGTTGTAGGAGGTGCAACAGGAGAGCCAGTTTGCATGGGGAGCTTGGTGTGACAAGCATAATATTTATATATTTGCAAAATGTTTGCTGCGGCTTTGTCATATTTCTGAAATTAATGTGTGTTCATATCTTATGGTATTATTTTGGGGCCAAAGTGATGAATTGGTCTGTTTGCTTATCAATAGTAACTTTTGGCCTGACCTAAAAGTTCTGAAGTTTATTATTTTAGGTTATATTTTCTTCCCCCCATAAAATTCATTCACTAGTTGATGTGTCTTTGCCTCATTGCATTTGAACATTAGAACCCATACAGAGGTCTGGTTTGCATTGCTTGTACAGTCATTGCATGGAATTTGATCATAATTGCATCACAAGCTGGTGAGAGTGCCAGTACTGGCAACATCTTCCTTCCTGCATGCTAAATTCTACTAACTCACATCTCACCATTTGTCCTGTTCAGAGGCCAACATTTTAGCCATAATGAGGCAGTATCTTTATTGTTCCAGTCAAGTGAGATGCAAACCTTTTTCTTTTTTTTCTTTTTCCCTGATTTTTCACTCATTTGTACTCTTCATTAGTATCTAAATCTGGTGTAACATTTTTTGCTGTTGAAAATTAATTCTTCATATTAACATAATCCTTATTTTGATAAAACTTGCTTCCATCTTAGTGATAGATCACAAATAGGCTGCTGAATAAATTTTAATTCCTTCTTTTTAGGTCTTCTACCTAGGCTGAGTTTGCATTTTGTAAGATTATTAAAAGGTAGTATCTGGCTCCCTAGTGCCGCATTTTTGTTACAAAACTTTCAAAAATCTCTTGGGCATTAGGCTGTCATTCCTACACCTATAGGCCTCCTTTTCAACCTGTTTGACTCCATGCCTACTTTGATTTGTGATGCCATTTTCTTTTGGCCTGAATCTACAAATGCCTCTACTTTGAAACAAATAGTTGATCGGATATCTTAACCACCTCAGCTACTCACTAACACATTCATAATCTGGCCTTTGTCATCCAAAAGCACGAGTCTGTGTAGTCCTGTTGACTGAGATTATTTGAAAACATGTCATCAAGTAGTCAGCCATACAGTAAGAAGTAAGAGTTTCATTGTATTGAGTTAATAATTTGGGGGGTGAATAGGTGTTTTAAGGGTAGTATTTTGTCTTCTGTTTCCCTAGAGACACAGAATTTTTATCACTGCAAGATGCCTTTAGACTTACATAGTTTGCTCATCTGGGTGTATAGAATTGGCTGTATTTGCATAAAATACATGTATGCTTTTACACAACATCCACTTTTTGGTAATCTATTATACTGCTTAGAGCATGCTGGTAAGGAAAAAGAAACAACATAGTAAATAGGCAAGCTGACTCTTTTTTATAAATCCGTTGGAAAACAAGCAGCTCATATGCACATGGTAACAACTAACTCTTAAGCACACAGTTTTGAATGGATAAATCACTTGCTGCTTAATATGGGTGATAGAATTTCTTTACAAACTCAAAAAAATTTCTGGTGCATAAAATCAAAAGTGGCCCTGCTAACAAGTGCTTGTCATCATTGCCCTACTGACCATACTCAGAAATATTGCCCTTACAGACCATACTCCTCAGCACCCTGAGTATCTCTCGGGCTCTGAAGGTGAAGTGGGGTGATGATTTTATGATCCTATGAATACTTTATGGGTCTGTGGTCCTCTCTTGCCTTTTGCATGTACTAGTATGGTTAAGGGGTGCAGAACACAGTGCATATATGTTGTCCAGCAGGTTAGTTCTACAATGTCTCTCACCTGAACCTGTTTCTGGTAGATCTGTGCCATTCACCGATTGATGTGATTAAGGGAAGCACACACTGAGATACTGTCATTAATGTATTTAAATTGGTTGTAAGTAATACTTGACAATATTGTTGTCTTTTTGCAGTGCCTCCAGGGATTGTGGGTGAAAATAAATTGGAAGACGTGAAAGTAAAAGAGAAGCACAGAGTTACCCTAACATGTGAAGTGATAGGTAAAAGTATACAATATTACTTATCTTTGCTGATCAAATCCATGGTGTCAATCATCATTGGTTCTGAACAGAATGTTTTTAATGGAATTTATGGTTCAGTGGAATTTTAAAATTTCAGGTTTGACTATGGTGCTGATAGCAGGACTAAGGTGTCCTCCTTATAAAGGTTACATAAAATGTAACATTTGCTGTGATATTTCTTTTCTAAAGGCCAGTGGAATTTAAGAGGAGTTGTATATTACTTCTAAGAGGTTCAATAGAATGCATATTCCAAAACGTTTCCCTAAAGCATGTATTTTAAAAGGGTATCTGAAACATTATTTTTTGTTTGGAAATGGCTATGCCACAATTAATATTTGTGACTTTCTTCACTCCATTAAGGGAACCCTGTACCACAGATCACCTGGACAAAGGATGGGCAATCTCTTACTGAGGATGAGAATCACAATTTTCTGTTCAGTGGCCGTTTCCTGCAAATCACCAATGCTCAAATCACTGATACGGCAAGATACACATGTATTGCATCCAATACAGCTGGAGAGAAGAGCAAAAGTTACAGTCTTAATGTACTTGGTAAGACCGCTGGTCTGGCTCTTACAGAGAAAATATTAATCTCCAGAAAAAACAGATAATCACATTGGAATTTTGTAGTACTTTAATTACAGCAATGTGTAAGTTGCCTGTCTACCATTAAAATTTTAGAGCTTAGTAAATGATAAATAATAGTAGTTCAACATAAACAGTAGTTCTTTGCTTTAGACAATATAGAGCTAGAAAATGCGGAACTATGACAGGACTTGGCTGCATGGAACGAGCAGGACAGTACATTAGCTTATTGTGACTCAAGGAAGAAGTATCTGAGATCGCTTCAGATTGTGATCTCTTCATAAAAGCTGAAACCATCTGCAGTTCTCTTTTCTTTTTTTCATGATGGTTATTGCATAACCACATACAAACAATGGTGAGTTTGTTTTCCACATCCTCATTTCCTAGGATTATGCCTCCTACCAATCTGCTGCTCACAGGATCATCAAGCAGTGGGTCTGCCAGCTGCTGCGCAAGAAGTGATGGCTGGCTTCCTGGTGACCTGTGTTTGACAAAGGCTAAGGGTGGATGATTCCACTGGCATGGGCTGATTGTTGACTTCAGGACAAAAGATAAAACCAGATGAATGTTGTCTCATTCTGGGTTTCAGTATGTCTCATAGGAGTGCCTCCCAGCTATTTAAGGCTGCAACCAGATTCCTAGACTGAACAGGGAAAAGAAAACTGGCTTTTCATAGAGGTCCTTCTTCTGGTTAATGATTTTGTTGTTCCTAGTGTCTCCAACTATTGTGGGTGCAGACAGCCATGGAAATGCAGAAGATGTCACTGTTATCCTCAACAGCCCAACATCACTGGTTTGTGAAGCTTACTCTTACCCTCCAGCAATGATCACCTGGCTGAAAGATGGTAATACTTTAGAATCAAACAGAAATATCCGCATTTTGCCAGGTAAATGTTTAGTTGTTATTGAGAAATAACACTATTTTTTTATTGTTCAGTTTCCTGTTACAGATTTAAAAAAAAAATAAATCAAATGTATTTCTATTAAGTGCTATGTTTGTACTTTTGTACCATTTAGTAAAACTCCATTTTTCTAGGTCACTAGTAGCTTGCCATTTTTAATTTGTGAACTGACTCTTACCTAGCTCATCTATTGAGGTGGAAAATGGGAACAAGCTTCACTGGTAACACTGAAGCAATGTAGATGAAAAAGAAGGTTAGCATTGTTAACTGCAAATGTTCAGAGAAAAATTAAGTAGGTATTGATAGCAAGGAATTGAATAGTATTTCAATTGCATTTCTAGGAATGCAGTCTAGAAAGAGCTGCAGCCAAGTCAAATAGTGACTCACCTCTGAGAATGCAGACAATATAAATCATAAATAAAATGGGTACTATGGGAAGGAAATTGATGGATTTCAAAGCTGTAGAGGCCACCTGAACTCTTAAATCCTACCTATTCATTCATATCTACACTTCTGACATAGTGGCTGTTGTTTCTGTCCATTCTCCAGAAGGAGTTAAGGGCCTCTTTCATATGAAGAACTGCACTGAAACAGAAAGGCAATTCAGAAGCTCACATCCATATATTGAATAAAGTCTTCTTGCTAGATCTTACTGATTATGCCTCCTTTCCCTTTTTCTGTGAATGAAATGTGCAGAACCCTAAATCACTTCCTCCTATTTAAGTATCTGTAAGAAATTTCTTCTAGAGAACTATGTTAACAAATTTTCCAAGAATCTGTAAGCAACAGGATTTGTGATCCAAAGCACTCCTGCAAATTATGCACCCATTTATTACCCAGTGTGCAAGGCAGTCAATTTTTTATGCTCATCTAAGGGCAGAATTATACCAAAGGGTTGAAAATATGCTGCAGAAACTATTGGAAATAATAATTTCCAATAATTGGAAAGCAAGGGTAAATGTAGATGTTATTAAAAAATTATGTCTTTTGGCAGGTGGTCGAACCCTACAGATTTTAAATGCACAGGAGGACAATGCTGGAAGATATACCTGCATAGCCACAAATGAGGCTGGAGAAACTCTGAAACACTATGAAGTGAAAGTCTACAGTATGTAAATACTTCCTTTTTTTTTTTTTTGTTCTTCCATTTTTTCTGCCTTTGCAGTGTTACTTAATCCTGGTGAATACAAGGATTTCTGTTAGTTGCTTTACTTAGCAAACATTTGCATTAGCTCATGGCATTGCTTGAGGAAAGATAATAGAGCAGTTTCCTGTTGCATCCTTCACAAATGCTGCTGTTGGGATAAAGATCTTTGTAACTCCCATGGGAAGATATTTAAGAAATGTTGAACTCCAGTTTCTTCTGAAATGCTTTTTTGGTGATGATTTTCAAATCAGATGAGTGCAGCACAATGGGAGATGTGAGCAGAGAATCTTGTGAGCAAAGAAATTATTTTAGAAAAAGAGGAGGGAAGGGGATCCATAACATCTAATGGAAAACTTTGTTAAGTAAGGTAAAACCAGAAGATACTATTTTTATATCCTTCCATGAAACACCATATGCACAAAAGCTTTCTTATTCAAGGATTCCTGTCAGCACATAGTCCTTTGAGCATTTGTGCCTAATACTCTATTTTAATGCTGAAACTCTTCATTATGGGCTCAGTCAAGCATGATTTTTCATATTTTTAAATTTTCTAGTCTGAATTGCAGTTCGGTTTGCTACCTCACAGCAACCGTGCTGTTATTTTAATGACACTAATTCCCTAATATGTCCCCATTGGATTCAGAATAATGAGAAGATGACAAAAGAGTTCATTACTGAAGTATGGCTATCTAGCAACATAAAGCCCCCCACTCCCAAATGGCATTGCAACTGTCAGTTATTATTGTACAGAAACCATTAGGGAGAATTTAAAATGTCCCATTGGAAAAAGAATGGAAAATGCTTTGAAAGCATTTAAAAGATATTAGGAGACCAGGATGGGGGTAGCTGAAGAGTTTTGAAATACTGTGTTTTTGTTATGATTCAGAAGGAAGCAAGATTTTGCAGCACTGGTATTTCAATGGAATGGAAATACTGAGTTTTGAGTAGCTGCTCTAAGTGTGGACTTCAGTTCAAATGTATTTCTGAGACTATTATTTTCCACAAAATGCTATTCAATTACTGTATTACATTGAACTTTATAGAATTCAATCCAAACACATAATAAAGTTCTATAGCTGGGTAAGGTTATAGTCAGGTTTTCATATCTAAAACTGTTGAATACAGTTTTATATATTTTGTATGTAATAAATATAATAGAAAAAGTTTGGAATACATATATGTATATTTAAAAAAAAAATCAGCTATGAGGAAGAGGCAGACTATAGAGGAATGCACTTGCTCTCTCTGAGGTTATCATCCAGGTTTTCCCTTTGCCAAATTAAATTTGAAATGCTGCCTAAGACATTAAGTCACGCAAATCACACTTGCTCCCTTTGTTTTTGCGCAGTTCCGCCAACCATTAACAAAGGGGATATCTCAGGGATGGGTGTCTCCCCTAAAGAAGTGAAGATCAAAATAAACCACAGCCTTACCCTGGAGTGTGAAGTTCATGCCATTCCTGCGGCTGCCATCAGCTGGTACAAGGATGGACAGGCCAGTCACAAACTTAATTCCTTCTAATGGGTAGATTTTGTACAGAAACAACTGCATAATCACTGTCACTACTAACAAACATTCACACAGCCTAAAAGGCTTATTTGCAATGCTGAAGTCAGACGCATCTTAGAATGTTTGCTTTTGGCCAGATCTGTGCAAATTGACACCCTTGCTTTTTTTGTGGGTGCTTGGCAGTGCTACTGAGACATCAGCTTCCAGGGCCTGTTACTGGCCTGTGCTTTAAAGAGGGGTGCCCTGCTCAGTAGTAGGATCCCATGATATGACCACATGTCCCTTTGCTGTTGTGTAAAGTCCCCAAAGGCCCTGTTACAGAATGGCCCCATGCTTGGTTCCATTAAGTGCTGCCCTTGCAGAAGTTGCAGAGAGCCTCCTGCTTGGTTCTGGCAGAGCTCCTGAAACCACAACGACATCTGGATCCTCTGTGAGGGGGAATGAGGTGTGGTTCATGCCACACACAGTCTTCACAAAAACATTGGTCTGGAGAAGTTTGGAAGGACAATGTCACAGTACAGATGTGCATTCTACTGGGGCCTGCCTATAAGTAAAAAAGAAACTGTGCAACTCCTTTGTAAGAAAGAAGACTATAATCTCTTGCTTTAGTTGTTCTTGGTAGGGCACTTATAGTGCAGCAGGCTGCTGCACCCCTCCAGCTGGACCAGCTTTTCCCGGATTTACCAAGCGTGTCTGTCTGTTTTGAGCATATGCTGTAATTCATGGATCTCCTGGGTGTACTGAATGTGTTGCCAATGAAAAATTATGCTGGGAGGAGTTGAGAGGTCCCCAAAGAAAGATAGTAGCTATAAGCAGCTTGCTGCCACTGTCAGAGCAGCAGCTTTTTCTTAGGTTGCCCATAGGTAAATGGCTTTCATTCACATCCATGGATTAAATTAATTGTCCCCTGCATGCCAGGAGTTCAGTGCTGACTCTCTAATGTGTTCTGTTTTCATTGAGAGGTACAGATCGTAGTAGTGTAGTCTCTACTGTCATGTGTGATGTAAATGCTAGGAACAGTAACATCTAATCTTGTGTATTTCTGCATTGCTGCTGCATCCATTTTATGTTTACACTGTGCCCTTAAGGGACAGCAGATCCAAGTGGCTATGTGGCTGTAGGGTGAGTTAGATTGAGTTGTTCACCTCATACAGAAAACTATACGGTAGATTTGCTTGTGTAGGTTTTCCATCAGCTCTTCGACTTGGTCAGTGAGTTCAGGGAATTAAATTAGCCTAATTTTATCAGATGTCACAAGAGCCCTTGCTTGATGGGGATCGCATTGCTCGTTTCCACAGCACCTTGCATCTGGGATTAGGAATGATGTAAAACCACATTCTCTCAGGAGAGCAGCTACCAAGATCAGAAAGATGAAGATGCAGAGTTTCTGATAACCATGGAAAGAAAACCATCTCCAGAAACCTGGACCTTGATCAAGTTTGCTCAGAGAGGAAAAGCTTTTGGTGTGAGGGAAGCAGGAGAGCTAGGTTCACCAGCTGTGGCCAAGACTGCCATCCCAGGAGACTTGGCTTAGGACTGTGTAGTGACTCTCAGTAATCTGATGTCCTAATCAACTACTTTCTTTGCGTAGATTGAAAACAGGCCTTGCCATAAGCATTAACAAAAATTGAAGGATGCTCTGTTAGTGGTATCAAAGCAGAGGAAATATCAAATTCTTACTCATAGTATACTGCCTTAAGAAGGATTTTGAAACAACCTGAATTTGACCAAAAGACAGGTGACATCATATTACTTCCATGAATATGGCTATTTCTAGTGTATATTTAGCAAAGTATTAATTTCCATGTAAAATTACATTACAGCCACTTAAACCAGATGATCATGTCATTATCCAAGCTAGTGGCCATACTCTGCAGATTAAGGAGGCTCAACTGTCAGACACCGGTCGTTACACTTGTCTGGCATCCAACATTGCTGGAGAGGATGAAGTGGAATTTGATGTAAATATACAAGGTAAACAGAGTTCAGATAACAAAATTATTCTGGTAGCCTTCTTTTCTAATGTTCTGGGATATTGGAATTTTTATAATTTTACACCTTTATACCTGTATCCTTTACACCTGCTTGGTCTAATCCAATGCTTTTGTGATTTGTGTGATTTTTGTTTCATATGTATTTTGCTCATCTTTTAGAAACACAGTATTTGGTTATTCTTTCATATTTTGTGATGTATGCAGTGTTCTGGAAGTCAGTGGAATGGCATAGTAACTCTCTTCGTCTAAACAACATGAAAAAGTTTTAAATTAGCATAAACCAAGACATCATATTTTATTCATCTGTATTGAGCAGTACTTAGAGGTCCCAGACATAGGCATTTTCTTGGTCTACACACTGTGTGTAAATATAAAAATCATTAATAATTTATGAAAATTTAGAGAAAGTTAGAACTTGAGTGAAAGCAGATAGCTTAGTGTTTAAGTATTATTGTTGATTAACACTCTCCATGCTTTGTTACCAGGTCTTCTTACACTTATTTATTAGTCTTCAGTAGATACTCAGTAGATTGCTCAATTTTCAGTCTGACGAAAACAACTAGAATTTTCCTGTGAAATTTAAATTGGAGAGGAGGGGTTAATTTAATACACTTATTTTTTTATTGCTGCTATTTAACAATCACAATATCTTTTAATTTCTTGACTTTTAAACTAGTTATTTCTGCTGTAAAATTCTAACCCTTTTCCCCCTCGGTTATAGTTCCTCCTAGTTTCCAAAAGCATTATAAGGAATGGGAAGCTGGTAACACGGTAGATACAGGAAGAAGTGGAGAAAGTAAAGATGTGATTGTTAACAACCCCCTTTCACTGTACTGTGAGACCAATGCTGTTCCTCCTCCAGTTCTTACATGGTATAAAGATGGCTATCCTCTGAGCTCTAGTGATAAAATACTAATCTTACCAGGTGAGTATTAAAATGTCATTCTCTGACATTAAGAAATGGCATTAGTGCTAGTATTTGTGTAGTAATAACAAAGTGTTCCACTTCAAAACACTGCCTTAATATTCTTTTCAGATTTTCTTGACTTTTTTTCCTATCTATTGCTCATCTGTTGGGAGACCAATGACTGCCACTCCCAAAACATATTCCTAATATGTCCTCTCTCTCTCTGAATCTGTTTACATGGCTATGCTTTAAATGAGGAACAGTGAAGAGTACCTATAGGCTTCAGAAGTAAATTTTCCCAGTTTGGAACAGGTTTACAGGAATATTCCGTGTTTATATTTCCTTTTGCCTATTAGTTGTCTGTCACCTAGCTGAGAAATATTTATGGTTTTGACTGAAGAATGTCTGGCTGCATGTTGCTGAATAATGTTATTCCTTTGTGTGGAATTAATTACTCTTTTCTAACATTTCAGTATGAACATTGTTGAATTCCAAGTATCTGCCAGTAGAAAAAGTAGCCAGGAAGTAAAGTCTTCAGTTACTTATAATTTAGAATAAACGCTAAACATTCGTAAATTTGCTTGCTCAGGTCTCTAGTGAAATGTGGTGTGGAAATAATGGAAACTGCTTGATGCTGCATTTAATCTTGAATGCGTTTTCCTTCCAGGAGGCCGAGTGTTGCAGATTCCACGGGCACAGGCTGAAGATGCTGGGAAATATATGTGTGTGGCGGTAAACGAAGCTGGGGAGGATTCCATTCATTATGATGTTCATGTGCTCTGTGAGCTTTCCTGCTTTTGTTTTAATTTTTAATGCTAAAATGAGTTCTGTGGAATCTAATGAAACATTATAGTCCAGCTTTACTTAATTTTTTAAAAGTTTATAAATAAATATTTTTAAACCATAAAATTAATCTGTTTATATAAGGTGCTAGAGTTTTATACAAGTATACAGAATTGAATGAAAATAGTGTTAATGTTGTTAGTTTAGTACGTTTTTAGGTTATTGCTATTGGAACTCAGTTGCATTATCCCCATCACACTTCACCAAAAAGAAAAGCATAGCTAGAAATCCAGGTTTTATTTTGTATCTCTTGCTCCCTGATCAATCTCCAGTTCAAAATTCTGACATACTAGGTTTTTCTCACCTTATTTTGGTCATCGTTTTCTAAAAAATGTGCAAAACTCCCAAAGCTTAAGGAAACTATTGATGTAGATCAACTATTGAATGCCTGCAGAGCCCATATCACATGAACTGTTTACAGACATTGCACAGAAAGCTTTTGTATGCTGGCTGCGTTGTCTGTTGACGTACTCAAGGTTTTTGCGTTGGGAAACACTTATTTCTTGACTCCTATTTCTGTATATACCACTGAAAGGACTGATATATTGTTAGGAAGGGGTCCTGCCTTGGAAATCCTCTTTTGTTCTGACAGCAAAGAACATGATGGACTAACTGGAAAATGAGCTTTCACCTCTTCTTTATGGCTTCTGTGTATAAGTGTAGTTCTCCTCCAGTCCTTTGAGTTATACTGATTTGTTCTAGCTGAACTACTCCTGGGATTTTATTATCTCTCACCGGATCACTGAAGATTTCACTACTTTCTATTAAAATCCCAATCTAAAAGATTGGTCTGTAATCTTAAAAAAACCAAACCAAAATAAATGAAAAAGAAAAAAAACAAAATAAATCTCAAAAACCACAACCAAACAAAAGATACCAAGAGGTACTAAGTCACATTATTCGTATCGTATTTTGCTCTTTCGTAGTACCACCATCCGTCAATGGAGCTAATGGTGATCTGCCTGAAGAAGTGACTGTGCTTGTGAACAAGATTGCAGTGATGGACTGTGTTGCAAATGGCAACCCTTCTCCAAGTATTACCTGGCAAAAGGATGGCCACCTCCTAGCAGAGGACAACAAACACACATTTTTGTCCAATGGAAGGAGGTTGCAGGTAACTTTTAGTGAAAACCTCACTTTTAGCATCGCGAACACTGTCCATAAAGACAAAACTGTTTAGGTATTCTGAGTATGCAATTCTGAATTTTTTTCTTCTACAAGGTACTGCAAACTTACTGATATTTTTTTTTGGTGTCTCTAAATTGGAGAGAATTCAATTTGATGGATGGACCACTCAGTGGATAAAGAACTGGCTGGATGGCCACATGCAAAGAGTTGTGGTAAATGGCTCAGTGTCCAGTTGGAGACCAGTAACAAGTGGTGTCCCTCAGGGATCAGTGTTGGGACCTCTCTTGGTCAATATCTTTGTTGGTGACATGGACAGTGGGATTGAGTGCGCCCTCAGCAAGTTTGCTGATGACACCAAGCTGTGTGGCTCGGTTGATACGCTGGAGGGAAGGGATGCCATCCAGAGGGACTTTGACACACTTGTGAGGTCGGCTGATGCCAGCCTTATGAAGTTTAAGCAAGCCAAGTGCAAG